ACAATTCAAGGACCCACCAAAGCTCCTGGTGGCCTTCCTGGGAAAACCTGATTTTTAGATTGACTTAACGGTGCTATCCAACTGTATCACTTGCCTCCCCCAACCCTCCAGCCAACCCACTCCTCACACAACTTTTTACCACGTTTTTACATATATACACACATAGAAAACAAAACTTAAAATCTTTTCTGCATTCCTTTCTGCCCAAATCTATTCCTCCTCCTATAATCTCTACTGCAGTTAGTGGAACCACCACTCAACCAAGGGGAATGAGTAGGAATACGGGATTTCTTAAGGCACATTCTGGGTAAATTGTTTGTTTAAAACCCTTCCTTGGCTTCCCATCATGGCCTCAGGATCAAGTCTAGACTCCTACAGCACAGAGCCCTCCATGACTTGATCTAAGCCTGTATTTTTAGTTTCTTCTGGCACCAATTCTTCCATCCCAGCAATTTCCAAACTGTGATCCATGGCACACTTCGAAGAGATCTTAATAGGCCTGAATTGAGAAACTGAATTTCTCTTGGGAAATTCATTCCAACTCAAACTATTTACTGAACGCCTACCATGTGCCAAGCACCACACTAGAAACAGTGGCGAATTTGATGTGCTCTTACCAAGCTCACTACCTACCAGAAAGCAAACAAATAACAGAGTAAGACATGTATCATGAAGTGGGGAAGATATAAGAGCAAAAAGCAAGGGCTCTAACCTGACATAGAACTTTAAAGTAAAAGCTGAATTATCCAAGCCAAGGGAGAGGCTGGAGTGGGCAGGGGCAAAAATGATGCAGAATAGAGAAGTGTATGTGGCAGCCCAAAGGGACACAAAGCACAGCATCTGGAATATGTGTAAGTCCACAGATTAAGACCATGAACTCTGGAGTCATACTGCCCAAGTTCAAATCACACCTATGTGACCTTGGGCAAGTCACCTCACCTCATTAAGCCCACTTATAAAATAGAGACACAAATACTATTTCAGAGCTGTTGAGAGGATCTAGAGAAATAAGCCATGTAGACTCAGCGTGGTGCCTTACTCACAATAAGTGCCCAGTGAATGTTAGCTATTAGTAAGTCCAATGCAGAGCCACTGAAGGAGAGGAAGTAGTATATTAAAGGCTCTGAGGAGTCTCACAGTTGAACTTTGTTTAGTTTTCCACTTGCACTAGAAATGGTTGTCACAACAAATGTGTGGGCACCAGGTGAGAAGGGCTGTCGCACCACACCAGGCTCCTCATAGCACCTAAGCAGCACACTGTGGACCTGCCTCCACCAGACCCCAAAGGCACAGCTGAGCCTTGCTATCGCTCGCTCCCTCTTTTTCCTCCTGTGACAAGCCCAGCCTCCCCAGGCCGATGTCCGAGCCCCTTCCTCTGTGTGTCCCTACAGCTAAATCAGGTACTCCTTCCTGGCTTCCTGGCATGGCCCCTTGCCTGCTGTGTGCCATGATCTGCTCACTTGTCTGCCTCCAGGTCAGGAAGCCCACACTGATTTGCACACGAGGCTCTGCACCCAGTGGGGACCTGGCAAGTGCTCACTGACCTTCCTTTCCTTGGTACTTGGGACCCAGTTCTCAGACCCAGCCAACCAGACCCAGGCCTGAGCCTCTTTCC